TTGGTATTGGGCAGGAATGCATTCTGAATGCATTGAACGCATTCTGACTGCATTCCTTCTAAAGTGGACAAACAAGTCATGTAACCTACGTGCACACATATATATATATATATGGTACCCCCCAAAAAAAAACAAGGATCAAAAGGCAACCCAAAATAGACAACATATTGCAAATACCAGCAAAAGTGATGTGAACATAGTTTTTTTTTTGGGGGGGGGGTACCATATATATATATATAGATTTGAGTGCGTTGTGGTGTATAGATATGTATAGACTTGATTGCTGAAGCACAATCGGCTCATGTAGACTCTTGAATTGATACCTCCCAGACATGGATTGAAAAACCTCCTCATATTCGATGGGTGAAATAGAATCAAGGGTCTACATTCTCTGTGGAAGTCCAGTCTGACCCAGGTCCAAACGGTCTTTGACACCTAAATAAATAGAACGCATTCTTTTTTTGTCTCTGTTCCGAGTTACCCATCCCCCCCCGTGCAAAACGGGCATCTGGATCCATTAAAGGGATCGTTGTTTTCGTCTTGGATCTCCTCTTCGTGACTTGACTCAGCCCTCCCCGCCCCGCCCGCTAGCTCTGAGGACAATGGCTCCTGGCACTTGGTGCGGCTGCTCTTGGAGGCCAAGGCGTCCACCGAGCGCGCCAACGCCCGGGGCGAGTCGCCGTTGTGGCTGGCCTGTGACAAGGGTCAGCTGCAGGCGAGAGCTGGATGGGTCGGTGGAGAGAGCGGGTTGGGTGGGTGAAATGGGTGGGTGACATGGGTGGATGGGAGGCCATTTTGGCTGGCAGGATGGTGGATGGATAGTTGGCTTCATGAACCAACTATATACTTGCAAATATACAAGTTTGGTTGCCCAAGGGATGTGAAGAGCCGGCAAGTGTTTGCGTTTTTGAGATGCAGTTGTTGGCAAGGAGGGTTGTAGGTTTTAGTAGGTGCTTTTCCTGGGAGAAGCTGTTGTCAGGGGCAACAATATCAAGCTGTCAACGCAAGTGAGTGAAGTAACTTTCAGGGATACCAGATACCAAGTCAGTCCTTTTCTACACATAGCCTATGCTTCGTTCTCAGTCACGTGAAATATTTGGGAAGGAAGTTTTGATTCATGTCATTCTATGTGCAAGGCCTCTCCAGAGTAAGCTTCTTTTAGATCTTCTGAGCTGTGCTACATTATGCGATGCACGTTGCTTTTGTCGCTAGCCATAAAGCCAGGAGTCCAGGAGTAGACCATTAGCGGCACCCAGCATGTCCCCATTGGCCGTTTTGCACAGGTTGCTCGGCTCCTTTTGGGCTTTGGCGCCAACAAGGACTTGTGAAGAGTTGCCAGCAGGATTCAACGGGTCACCGTTGAAAGGAATCCACAAGTAAAGCCCCGCACCCTAAGAAACATAACTTACTTATCTATATATATATATGGATGGTGATGTTTAAAGGGGAAGCATGATCAGGTTGAGTAGGAAAAGCTTTAGGAGGCTAGGAGGCTCACAAAGAAAGACCTATAAGACTATATACCCGAGAAGACGGAAACACACCAACAGCCAGCCCGCTTCGCTGCCTGTTCATGGCCGCGTTATATAAGGCTTCCTGTAATATAGAGAAGCCTTTGAGAAGCAAATTTGTTGTTGAGTTCAGGAACTCCAGGAGACCTTCCTTTCAGCCAAATTCATAGCCTAGCTCAGCAGATTTCAGTTAACTTACCTTCCTTGCCTATATACGCATGTTTTTGATTGTTTTTGTTTGGCTTCAACTTCACCTTCCACAAATCTCACCCAAAAACCGCACCTTCAGCTCCCCAGCCCCTCTTCTTCCCCTCTTTTTCTCCCCCATATAGCATCACATCTACCGCACCTTCGCACACTTCCAGGACCAGGCGGACCACCAGAACCGCTCCCCCTTGTGGATCGCCTGCGACGCGGGGCATTTGGAGGTCGCCGAGCTGCTCTTGGAAGCCGGCGCCGATCAGGCGGCGCGCGCGCGCAGCGATGAAGGTGGTTGGAAGCAAAATGGGCTTCAGGAGGCTGTTTTTCGTGATGGAAGCTTGTTCCATGCGCCAAGCGCCCATAAAGGAAGGGGAATCGATCTGCTATACGCGCAATTTGCGTGGCAAGTTCTCTGGAGCAACAGCTCTATGATCCATCCACACCGCCAAATAAAGCTGCCCCAAAACCAGTAATATATAATGTTTGAATATCTATCTTCATAGTTGAATATCATTGAATATACATAAACACAAGCACCTTCCATTGGGTCGCCGATGGAAGTCGGAAGCCCCTGCACTACTTGTGGATCTCCATTCACTTCTTGAACAAAATCCAGGTACTTTTTGTATTTGTCACCCTCAACCCCCCAAGCTCCAAGCCACCGAACTCCAAGCCACCTTTTGTTTTCTCCGCTCCACCTGCTGCATCCGTGACCAGCTCACGGTGACCGGCGCCTCGCCGCCAGGAGCAAGCAGATGAGTTGGGCTCCTCGCCCTCCTCGGCCGCCTCCGCGCGCGGCTTCTCGGAGGTCGTGGCGCTGCTGACCGGCGAAGACACAAAAAGCCGAGCGTGTCGTGCGGTGTGACGTGCAGTGGAGTGGAGCAGGGCGAAGCAGAGTAGCAGATGGGCGTGTTGATGGTGAGTGGGAAGAGGACATGGGGTGAAGGCAACACCCTAACCGTCCATATATTTAAGTAGGTCAAATGGATCAACCTCCTCCTATAATAAGACTTCCACTGAGTGATATGCATATTTAGCTAAGCCTGCTTATCAGTCGCCTTTATCTGGTGCCTCTCCCGTATATCAGGCTGCTGCTGAGTCCCAAGTCCTTCGGGCAGCTGGGCCATGCGCGGCCCGTCAGCGCCGTGCCGCTGACCACGCAGGCGCTGGGAGGCATTTTCGTGGCTTGGCAGCAGAGGTCAGGGGGATGGTGGAGTTCACTGGTGCTGTGAGTGGCAGGTCATCAGGTCATCGAAAAGATGCGTCAGAGGGATCTGGAATGAAGAAAGATCAGGGCGCGAAGAAGCCGGTTCTGAATCTCTATATCCCAGACACTCCATGTATGGCATATTTACCTACATTGACCCCTAAAACCACCCCAATGTAGGCATATATGGCATACATGGAGTGTTTGGGTATGTTTTTTGCCCTATTTAGTTTGGGCACTCATAGAGATGTGACAGATCGTTTTTAAGAGTTTCTACATGAAGAGATGTTTAGGCTATAGTTCTTTCATCAAGAGTCAACCCCAAGGCTGGTGGCTCAACTCAGGTGGATGATCATGGACGATCTAAAAGTGTTGGAAGTGGGGCGACGCGTGCTTGATCCTCGTTCTAGGACCCAAAGTTAGCCTAAGTCCATACCCAGACACTCCATGTATACATGTATATATGCTTATACATTGATCCCGCACCCACCACCCCTGGCCGTTTCTGCGCAGTCCGTCCTGGCAGGTGCCAGACAGGTCGTGTGTTGGGATAACCCCCGGATCTTCCGTGGATGACTCGCTCTTGGAGGGGCGTGGCGGCCGAGGTGGGTGTGGTCACGAAGCGTTTCGGTAGCCTGAACAAATCCATCTTGCTGGTGGTGAGCCTGCTGATGACGGGGCTCCTCCATGCTCTTGGGATTGAAACGGGGTGTTGTTTGGGCCAGGGAAATTGGGGGAGCATCCAGAAGGACGATCACATGAGCCTGATTGACTAGGTCAGGTCCAGTTGGTTTGGCAAGACACGTGGCCTTTTGATGATTGGCACGGGTGCTGGAACCATCATTCCTTTGGCACACAGGATGGGTTTTGCACTGCATTTTGCACAGAACCTTTTTGTGGGGTTAGTTTGGTCCGCTTGATTGATGGAGTCTTCCCTGGGATTGATGTGGTTCATGCCTACTCTAAAGAGTGTTCCTCCCCGATTGGCAGACGTGACCGAACAAGCTGAATGCCTCAGCTGCTAACCCGCTGAAGCATATTGAAGCCAGCTCAGAATGCATGGATTGATCGAGCTTCGGGAAGCCCTGGATTTAGTTCATGTCCATTTGACATGCTCTTCCAAGATATGTATACATACCTGGACCCCTCAACTTCAAGTACCCTAGCTAAATATAGGACATGACCCGAACAAAAAAGCTGGTATAGTATACAAACATACCCGTTCTCATCCATTTTTCAAGAAGTACGAACTGAAACTCCAGGTGCACAAAGACTTGTAGAATCATACCAGAACTTCCCCCACCGACCCATGGCGAAAAAGCGGTGCTAGGTCTTCTTGGAAGGCGCCTGGCCTTCCAGCAGCGCGGTCGCTTCAATTCTTTTGGTCCGGCGCCCCGTGGTCCTGGGAGCCACACACTGGATTTACACCCGCCCTAAGCCTCCAGTCATAGCTTCTGCGAAGGTGGGACTGGGGTGGGTGCCAGGAGGGTTCAAAAACCTTCTGAGGAGGTACTTGGAGGTGTAGGGCTGGGAAATCAGCAACTGATTCAAGTCATTAGAATCATATTAGAAGTTAATATAGAAAGTACTTCCAGCGAAGGGCCCTTCTTGATGTAGAAGAGTTATCCTCCGGTCCCTTCTTGGTCTTTGCCAGAGAACGTCCTCAGGATGGCCCTGGACCATCCGCAGGATGGCCCTGCCAAGAGCCGGGCTTCCCAGGTGGTGTCGGGCTTGGTGATCTACAAGGAGCTCGACCAACAACTCCCGCTTCGTTGGCAGCGCCTTGGCGCGAGCGAAGCGACAATGCGCGATGGAGGAAGGGGCGGTCCATTTGCGATGAAGAAGGAAAAGGAGCTCCCATCTGGGTCAGGAACATATGCACCAAGATTCAACAAAAAATATCAACAAATCGAATCTGTGCAATCTGTGCATCCTATTCTGATAGATGGACCGGGTGTGGTTTTGGATGTCAAAAGCAGAGCAAGTAACACCTGCATTGAGGTCCCTGAACTTTTGATTCGAAGGTCGGTCATATGTGGCAGTTACCTGCAGAAAGACGGAAAACTGAAGGCCTTTCGTGGAAAACATAAGAGGTTCATTGGACTGGTCTTCCATGGTCTTCCTACGTATTCTATGTGTGGCAAAAGGCAGGGAAAACATTCAATCTTAGAGAACGGGGTTTTGTCCACAGCCGTCGAGGAAAAGGAAAAGGTCTCCGGCCTGGCAACACAGTTCAATCGTCGGAAAAACCATGCCCTCTTTGCGTGGTAATCACATTTCCCACATTAGACATGTGGCCATGGCCCGCAGTGCTATGTTTGAAACCCATGAAACACGAGCCCTTCCTTCTAGCGTAAAGTCAGTACGCTGAGGCTGCGCGAGGTCCCGCCATGTCGGAGTGATTCTTTTTGTTCCATCCAGTGAGTGAAGGGGAATCAGGGGCACAGTGGCACCCTTATCCTGCGTTCGTTCGGCAGCCAACTCCATGAAACTGCTGGTCCTCAAGTCTTTTTCAGCTCAGCTTGAGTACAGCTTAACTGAAAAGACTAGCCAAGCCACCAAGAGCCACCAGAGCCACCAAGACTAGCTTCCTTAGCCAAGCCACCAAGAGCGTAGCTGTTCAACCAAGCTCGTATGCCCCCAAGCGGCACGTGCCGCGCCCCAGGGCCGCTCAGCACATCGGCCCAGGTCAGGGGTTCGCTTTGGCACCTTGTTGGGCCGACCCTTTCAAACGGATGCTTGGGTCAAGGAATACGCAGGCGCGATCTGATGGGGTGGGCTTTTGGGCATCAACATGACAGTCATGACATGCTGCAGGGCCTGCAGGGTGTAGAGATGGGAGATGTTTGTGGGCGGCATGTGGAGGAAGCTTCTGAATCAGCAGTTCTTCAGCCCGGCCATTCTCTTTCGTTGTGCGGTCGTTCGCAGAAAAAGACGAGCGTAGCGTAGCTTCGGTGAAGTCGAGATCGAGAAATCCCGCAGAGTTTCAGTCAGAGTGTCATTACATCGAAGGCAAAGGCTTCTCAGATCGGGCTGGCTATAGGGCCTGGCTGGAACACCATGCACTTTTGGTGGAGCGTTGAGGAAAAGAAAACATCACATCATGTGCCGGGAAGAAACGAAAGACACGAACACAAATTGCATCCTCCATGGTAACTGGTATGTTGGGGGTTCTGGTATTTGAGGAAAAGACTCTTTGATGTTTGGATATGACAAACTGGGGAGAGGGCGATCTTCATCGCATCCCGCCGAAAGAGGCCTTCTTTCGAACACCTCTTTTGCCTTCGCAGGTCTTCCCTGACCTGTGATGAGTGGTGCAGGCGTGGGGATTGGGTGATGTCCCAAGCAGCCAGGAAGGAAACACCATCCTTGGGAGTGAGATCAGCATGTCTTCCTTGGGAGTGAGACTAGCACAGGTGGTTTTCTTGGCCTTGCGTCCCTGAAGAGGGTTATACATCCAACTACCACATGACATGTCCGTGAAATCATCATGGGTTAGTGGAATCATTTCACCTCCTGAGATTGGTCAAAGGAGCATGGCCATCCAAGTCTTTTTTTGGGTCATGCCATGCCACGATCTTCCATGGTTTCAGGATATTTTGTGGTGTCAGAGGTTCGATGGCACGTTTCCCCCATGATGTCCTGTCGACACATGGGGGTCCACCAAACCACCGACATTGGGGTCTGTGCCATTGGTCCTCTCAATCCACGATATTTCGTATAAGATCCGACTTATGCGGCCTAACAGTCCAGTGACATTCTTATCGCCTTAGGGCCCACGGGGGCATGGACCCCTTCAACTCTTCGGGGAGGATGGACAGCGCGAGGTTCCAGTTTCAAGTCTGGCCAGGAGGGCTCTCCATATCCCAGACACGACCTGCTTGGGATTGGCATATCTACCAGTGGGGTGATTGGATTTGCATCCAATCGGAACTTGTTCGACACGTTCTTTTGAGGGAAAGCACGATTAGTTCAAAAACAAGGTGCAAATTTGGAAACGTCCAATGATTCATTCAACACACATGCCTAAGTCTTGGAGTGACTTGTATGTTTTTGTTTTTTTTTTAATACTCCTGTGTGGCGTGTTGTTGTTTGTTTTTAATGGTGTAGCATGTGCCAGATGATTTTGTGGGTCCGCACGATTTCTGAATGTTTGGATTTGATCTTTTTTTGGGGGGGTGGGGACCTCGCAGTGCAGCATTTTAGAGTATTTTAGATGGTTAGAGTCAACTGCACGACCATGGAAGGGCTTTGGGGATGCAAAGCATGGACTTGAACCAATGATTCGACTCCGCCAAGGCTTTGCTTTTCGAACCGAGTGCTTTTCGTCAGGCACCTGTGGGGAGGAGGTTTGAGCTGTTTCGATGTCACCCGGACCGACACATTAATGCTGAGTTTCGACGACAAGCCTTGACGACATGCGTTCAGTCAGATGTCGACAAGATGTTGCCGTATGTTTCCCATTGCCCATTGATCGTGACAATTTGACTAATGACTAGTCTGACTTTATCATATGACTATATAGAATGATGATTTGTGGGAAACCGCATGTTTTCCCCCCCCAAAGACACAGATCTGGCCGGCTGCAGTTGTTGCAAGCAGAGACAGGGGAGCTAAAAGACCTACAACTATTGATTAAATCGGCAAATGTGCTCGTTTCGAACACTGACTGAGAGAGACAGGGCGAGCTGGAAGACAAGCCACAAGCAGGCACAAGTTCGAGCCAGGTTCGAACTTGAAACCCTATATAAATTGTGTGCTTTTCGGAAACGAGCGAACTTAACACCTGGCGGTGTTCACGCGTTCTTTGGCGGGGGCCAATGGTATGACGCCACAGCTATATGCAGCAGCAAGGCGCAATAGGATGCATACGTGAGTAAATGATTTGGATGCAGCTTCATCGTGCGCAAAAACATGGCCGAAACCAGCAGCATGATGCAAAGCAAGGGTATGATGTGTCCTGGCAGTCACATGGAATGTACTCTCCCTGGAACTAACATGGTTACGTGGAGAATGGCCCTTTGGCTCTTGACCTCGTCCTCAGAGACGGCCTTTGACGGCGGTGAAATTCCCCAGCAGCCCTTGGGCGGGCGGCACCACTAGTACTTGTCTTAAAACAAGCATTTGTGTTGGCAGATGTTGACAAATATTATTGTATTAATACACATGCACTGACAATCACTGCATCTTTATCTTGTAATTTGATGTGATGCAGTTCAATCCGATTCTCATTTGCACTGGCAGCTGAGCATGTTAACAGTCTGTTTCCTTTTCTGCCGTTTCGCATCGGCTGTTTGCCTTGGACCTTCTAAGAAGTTCCAAAATTCCAAAACACAAGCTTTTGCAGTCAGTCTGTGGCCCAAGTGACACAAGCACCGTCTCTCCACCACAGTGACACTTGCGATATGGATGCAACCATAGTTTTAGCGTGATTTGTTGAATATGGGCCATGGACAACTTGATATAGGCAGGAAATATTTATGCATAAGCATACACCAGCAGTCACAAAGGGGTGCTTAAGTTAGTTTTCATACTACACAGGCGCATCGTTTCATCCTTGGGCGCTTCCGGCGGCCCTGTCGGCCATTGTGGCCATGGCCTCCGGAGGAGTCTGGAACACCCAGCGTTCCTTTCTGGCTCAGCTGAGGGACGGCAGCCTGGAGGCCTGGGGACACCCAGATTATGGTGCCCCGATCCCAGCCGACATCATAGCCTCCGGGCAGAAACACGGCCTGAAACGGGCTTGGTCTACGTGGCAAGGTGGCTTTTTAGTGGAGCTGCAGAACGGGGAGTTTCACGCCTGGGGAAACAAGGAAAAAGGTGCCGACATCGACGCCGTGAAGGCCACGCTGGAACGCGAGGGCGTCGTGCAGATTTGGAGCACCGGACAAGCTTTCCTGGCAGAGTTGACGAGCGGCAAGGTGCTCACATGGGGCAGGGCAGATTACGGCGGCGACGTCGCCACCTCGGTGCGGGAGGCCCTAGAAGCCGAAGGGATCCAGCGCGCCTGGTCCACACGCGGTGCCTTCATCGTGGAACTGAAGAGTGGCCGAGTGGTCGCCTGGGGCGATTCCGACTACGGATCCCAAATCCCCTCCGACGCCCAAGCAGCGATGCGAACCAAAGGCCTCCGCGACATTTGGACGACGCGCGGTGGCGCCGTCGTGGCGCAGCTGAACACCGGAGAAGTGATCTCGTGGGGAGACACCCGCTGTGGCGCCGACCTCGGCGGCGTGAAAGATCGGCTGGAAGCCGCGGGAGTTCGACGCATGTGGAGCACTCTTGAAGCCTTTTTGGCGCAGCTGAAGACGGGCGAAATCCTGTGCTGGGGCGCCAAAAATTATGGCGGTGCGCTCCCCGCGGGGACGAAAGAAGCGCTGGACGCCCACGGAGTCGCCCGCGCATGGAGCACCAACCGTGCATTCCTGGCGGAGCTGACGAACGGCTCCGTGGTGGCCTGGGGAGTCGAATTCTTCGGTGCCACGATCCCAGACGACTTGCACGGCTCCTTGGAACGCGAGGGGATCCGCGAGGCCTTCGGCATGGGCGCCGCCTTCCTGGTCGTTTTGAAGAGCGGCCGCTGCGTCGCGTGGGGCCATGACGACTACGGTGCAGACCTGAGTTCCGTCAAGGACAAGTTGGAGACGGTGGGCCTGGCGCTTTCAGCGCCTGCAGCTCCGGCCGCCGTGCACAGTGGAGATGGAAGCTCAGCTCCTGCGGCTCCTGCACCAAGCGGATGTCCGGCCTTTTGCCGAAGCGTCGATCTGTCGCCGGTGGTGGTGAAGCTCACGGAGAAGGTCTCCAACTCCAGCTGGGTGAGCAGGGCTATGGTGAAGGTGGATGATCAGGAGGCAAGGGGTCGGTCAGAGTGGGATGAAGATTATTACTATGCATGCAATAAGATGTGATTAATGCTAAAACTTATCTCTCCCTATAATCCAACTGGTGGCGTCAGTGGGTGGTTGCACTTACTTGGGCCTGGAGAAGACTTTGGTTTCAGGGGATTGGACCCAGATGTTATGGTACGATCCTTCAAAGATTGAGGAAAATAGCAACCAGAAGAAGACGTCTATAGAGAAAACAATTCGAAATAAAACAATGTGGCACTTCTAGATGTGTTGGTCTTGTTTGCCTGGGCGTGCGAGACCGCACAAGGCCGCAAGGACGTGCAGCTGTAGAACATTTGGCTTGAAAACAAGATAAACAAGTTCACACATTATAGGACAACACGTGTCACAATATGGAGACTTGTACTTTTGGTGACGCACGCTTGATTGTATATGTTTCTATGTTGCTTGGGTCCTGGGTGGTGAATCACATGATATCACATGTTTGTAGGTTTACAACATTCCGAGCAAGCCATTAATATCATCTCAGATCATCATAGATCATCGTCTATATATATATATATATGTACTTGAACTGGGCATTCTCTCAATTATATAGCTCCGAGAGCCCAGTTGTACGTGACGAATCGAAGCACCTGTTTACACTGATGATTGGAGCTTTGGCCCTTCTGAGGTGCCGGCTGTGGTCAAGGCCATGCGGCTACCGCAGGCTGAGAAGGAGAAGAAGAACAGGCAATTGCTACGCCTGAAGGACGCACAAGAGTTGCCCAGCTTTCAGTTCAGACTTCACTGTCCCATTTTCTGTGCTTCAGCATGCCATAGCTTGCAGTATACCATCAGTACCAAGAAATATTGATAAAGACATTAAAGACTGTCATCCTTTCTGTAGCAAATGATTTCCTTCTTTGGAATATGGCCCCGGGCCCCGGGTAAAGATATTCTTAAATCGATCCTGTCTAGTCTTGTCTCTAGTGAACCTACACCCCAAACTAGCAGCAACAACAACAGGTTCTTGCAATCATGGTTGATCCTGCCTGAACCTTCTTCCGTTAGCCCTTCTCGGGGCAATGCACCTCATCAAGCAAAGCAAGAAATTGACACCCACAGATTTGCTGCTATGATTTGCTCTTGAGAGAGGGAGAGAGAGCCTCAATGTCGCTGCCTTTTTACACCAGTTCATCAACCTTCATATGGTTTAGCCGTTTATAGGCGACGGTTGTATAAGATGACTATGTGAAAACCAGGGTGTATCGTTCACACAAGTTTGAGTGTTGGCCAAGCCTGGGGGGGCAAACAAGTCCATATTCAATATTCATTGTATACCCTAGGGCTCTGGGGAGGGTTTAGAGGGTCCAAATCCCTTCTGAGGAGGTACTTGGAGCCCTAGGGATTGGATGTTCGCGGAACGTTTTTCTCGAAGCCGTTCGTGAGCTGTTTTTGACGTGTTCTTGCCGGATTTTGATCTCAAGGTGGGGCTCAGGGGGGCGCGGCATGCCGAGCTGCGCCACTTGCTCCAGGTCCTTCTTCATCGAGGAAGGAGGAGTTTGCAGAGGTTGCGTGCTGCTGCGAAAACTTGGCCAGGAATTGAGATTTCAGCCAAGGTCCAAGTTAGAGGCACGAGTGGCCATATCCTGGTTGGAATCGGCTTTGCGGGGGCTAGAAGTGCTTCGCGACTCCTCGCACTTCGTGGACGAAGGCACCAACGAGCAACTTGGCCTGAAAACCTGTCCGGTGCCGCCTAGCGTTAGTGCCCCTGGTTCCAGAGAGGTTTCAAGCCGAGCAGAATCGCGAGCAAGTGGCGAGAGGAGGAGAGCTGAGAGGCCAGAGACTCCGGCAGAGGAGGAGAGAGAAGGCGAGGTTGCAGAAAGGCCGCGCCGTGAGAGAAGGAGAGAGCCTGAGGATAGGTCAGAGAGGGATGGCAAACGCCGCAGGAGAAGGTAGGCAGGCAGACGAGTCGGTTGGGGTCTTCGAGATTGAGGATAAGGAGAGATGGCTCATGATGGGTGTCTTCGCAGGTCGTGTCATCATCTTCCCCATGGAGCTCGGTCAGAAGGTCGTCTCATGCCCCTTTTTCGTAAAAGGTCATGCTGTGCTCCCCGACGGAAGCCTGTCAGTGGAGGTGGTGTCCCTTGGAACTTCGAACAGCAAGGAGTCGAGGACTTTAACAAGCATGAACAAGCTCCTCAACAAGGCCCACATTTGCCAGGACGACCCTTGCAGCGTAGGCGGGAGTTACATCAGCCACATCAAGAAGTTAGAGGTAGTTCATGGACCCGACCTCGAACAAAGCTCCCTTGGCTCTTCAGGTTTCAAAAGGTGGGCCAACCTATGTCAAGAAGTTCTAGGGGTGAACGTCAACGAAACCCGTGCGCCCGAGGATCCATGGAAGGACGATGCTATGGGAGCTCGACCCGGTGCACTGCGACGTGGAGGAGAGAGATCAGGAGCCGACTCCGAGAGACATGCCATCTTCGTGAACGACGACCCAGAGGACGACGAGGTGGTCAGAGGCCGCGAGAAGGTGAAGAAGGTGAGGAGCGGTGCAGAGGCTACAGAGCCAGAGGAGGCGAGCAGAGGACGAGGAAGAGTGACAGAGGCTTTGAGCGACCTCAGACAAAAGCTCAAAGAGAGCATGCGCACCCCTGGCAGGCCAGAGCCTGCTGGAGGTGGATCAGCCGATCCCAAGAAGGCCGCTGCTTCATCACTTGCAGTGGCACCCAAGAAGACCGATGGGCCCAAGAATTTGACCTTTGGCGTGGAGAAACCTGCCTCCGAGATTCAGGAGCTGCTGAAGAGTGGATTGGAGGAGCCAAGAGAAGGTACTTCGAGCTCCAAGAGGAATCGTTCCCCGAGCGAGGCCCTGATCGCAGCGGCCAGCCATGCTGCCACAGGGAGGACAGGAGGGGAAGAGAAGAAAAAGAAAAAGAAACGGAAGAGAAGCGACAATCGAGTTCTTCAGGTGTTGAAGAATGCCCTGCGACCCAGGCGGGGAAAGAAGGAAAAGAAGAAGAAAAGGAAAAAGAAGGAGAAGAGCGAGGGAGATCCCTCAGACGACGATGGGAGCCCGGACGATTCGTCGGACGACGAAGAGGAGGAAGAGGAGAGCAGCAGCTACTCATCAGAGGAAGAGAGCAGCGAAGACCGGAAGGCGAGGAGGCTGCAGGCACCACTCAAGAGGAGGAGTCAGAAGAAGAGAGGAAGTGTCATCCACCTCCTCCTCGAACAGATAGCCGAGCAGTTGCAGGACTTGTCAACCCCGCAAGAAGACTTGCTAACCAGCGGGCCGAAGGTAGGGACCTACTGGCAGATAAGCCTCAAGCACAGGTACAATGCCGGACATCCAGCCCTCCGCGAGTTGTTCCTGTTGGCCACGGTGATCGACAGGGTCCGCAGTGGCCAACTCCTCGAAGCCCTGGATGCTTTGGCCGGTCGTTTCATTGCGGTCGAAGCGGCGACTCACGACGGTTGGAACGTGGCGAAACATCTGGAGGTTGCCGTGCCGGCGGAGCAGGCCATCGCACCAGCCGAGCTTCAACTAGCCGCCCGGAGACACAACAGCATGGTCCTGAAGGCGCAGGGCTACGAAGGAAAAGGAAAATGGAGGTATGCTTCCGGAGGCAGAGGCTGGAGTGCGACAGGGTCAAGCAAGGACGAAGGCAAAGGCTGGTGGCGATCCAAGGGAGGAAAGGACGGCAGAGACAACAAAGGCAAAGGAGGGAAGTGGAAAGGAGGCAAAGATGCAGGACGAGGCAAGGGCAAGAGCAAGGGCGAGGCGGAGGGCGACAAGACCGAGGAGTGAGGAGTGAGGAGTGCATGAGAGGAATTCAGATGAGGGAGACAATGGACTCCACTATGCCGGGCCAGACTTTGACTGACGTTCAGCCATCCAATGACAGTACAGAGGCTGAGGTTGGAAACGAGACGAGGTTCATGGCAATGACAGTTAATTTGCTTGAGGTTCCAGCTCGTGAGGAGCAGTCAGCAATGCATGTGAGAAGGGAGAAGATGAGTGAGGACGCGCCAGAGGAGGTTGCAGGAGAGAGGATGAGTGAGGCAGGCAATGCTTTGAGAGAGGCAGTGCAGAGCGAGAGGTTGGCAGAAGGAGCTGAGAAGAAGCGCCCAGAGGCTGAGGAGCATCGGCAGCTGCTGGAAGGAGGCCTAAGAGGCGAGAAGGTGGCAGAGATGCTGTGCAGGCGCTGTGACCTGAGGAACCTTGGGCTTGCGCTGAGCTGGATGATCTTCGAAGGAGGACGGAGCCAACTTGGCCGCTCGTGGTTGTGGGGAAAAGTTGCGGCCATGAATGAGCAGGTGTGTTGCGGGCAGCTACTAGGCAATCGGAGCCTCTTTCCTTTTCCCCACGTTTGGCGACGCCTTGAACGGAAATTGAAAGGAACCCTGATTGAGGACATTTTCATGGACAGTTTTTGGACCAGTGATGATTTTGTCGATGGTTGGGTTTTGGCCTCCGTGAAGTTCTGTCAACACCTGCATGGGGGGGAGCTTGGGGTTTGGTGTAGGATCCGCCCGCAAGTTCCATTGGGCGGCAATTCGCAGCATTGATAGGAGGGTTAGAGAGATGATTGATGAGTGGAAACCGGGCCTGGTATGGGGCCCTGAACAGATTAAAGAAGACCTTTCCAAGCGAGACATAGGCTATGCCGGAGAGGAGGTTGGTAAAGTCGAAAAGCTGAGTAGGGCTCAAATACTCCCTTCCTTGCCTCCCCCAGGAAGGGGCGGTTCCGTTCGATTGATTGATTGGGTTGGTCCTAGCACGCGGAGACTGCTTGAGAATCCCAGTCTTTGCGAGATTGAAGATTGTGGTCAACAGGTCCCCAGGCTGACTGGCCGAGTGCACATACAGGAGGGAGAGAAACTGGAGGTGGCAAGGCTTTTGGTTGAGCGAGGTATTTGCAAGTGGTACCCCGAGAAGGAGGTTTTCCGGTTCCGTGGCACCTCTGTTAAGAACGGCATGTTTGGAGTGGTGAAACCAGGTAAGGTCATTGAAGGTCGAGAGACCTTGAGGGTGATCATGAATCTCATCCCAAGCAACAGTATTCACAGCATCATTCCCGGAGCGGTTCATCGCTTGCCCACCATCACTCAGTGGACTTCTATTTTCCTTGGACCAGGCGAGCGTGTTGAGGTGAGTCAGGCAGACATCACGTCAGCCTTTTACTTGTTCGAGTTGCCTATTGCATGGCACCGTAGGCTGGCCTTCAACATCGACGCTATAGGTAGTGAGTTAGGCCCTGGCTATGACCCCGAAATCAAGTACAGCCTCTGTGCATGTGTCTTACCTATGGGCTGGAACTCTGCTGTAGGGGTAATGGAAGAGGCAGCTGAGAACTTGCTTAAGGACATTGGGCTACAGACTGTTCAATCAATTAACAGGGTTCAGTTGCTCCCTGCTGGTTTCGTGGAGAAAATGAAGGCTGTGGAAGTCCAATCAACCCCCTTTTGGCATATTTACCTCGACAACTATGCCTCGGGCCAGAGAGTGCAGGGTAAGCTTGAGGAGACCTTGGGTGGCGAGCTTCACAACTTGGCAGAGACGGGGAGAGGCATCCTGACTGCCCCTCAGAAAAGCGTTCACAGGGCCCTTGTGACGACCGAACTGGGAGCCTATGTTCAGGGTGAGAGAGGATGGATTGGAGCAAGTCCAGAGAGGCTGGAAAAGACCATCAAGCTTAGTCTGTGGCTCGCGACCCGAGGCAACATGAGGAGAAAGACTTTGCAGATTGCAGCTGGACGTTGGATGCATGTCCTTCAGTTTAGACGGCCTGCAATGAGCCACTTCTCAGGAATTTGGGAGTTCCTCCAGGCCATGCAGAAGAAGAAGGAGTGGAAGGCCAGGTGGGAGCTGCTTTGCATGTCGTTTGGGGCGATGCTGGTACATAGTGACCTCAAAGCCCCTCCTTCCGCAAGGGTTACAGCCAGCGATGCTTCCAGTTTGGCCGGTGCTGTGGGAGTTTCCGAAGAGGTGACACCGCTGGGAAAGGATTTCCTTTTCGTTGACATGAATCCCAGCGCTCAAGGGATGACCATCCCAATTTTGGTGATCTCGCTCTTTGATGGGATAGGTGGAGCAATGAGGAGCTATAATGTTGCAGGTGCCAGACCCGCTAAGTATGTCTCCATAGAGATCCACTCTCCTGCTAAGCGCGTCGTGAGCCGACGATGGCCTGAAGCGATTCAGTTCGACGATGTCAATGCGGTCGATGCGACCCTCATCAGGGAGTGGATTGGACAGGCTGGACCCATCAGAGGCATTCACCTCTGGGGAGGATTCCCTTGCAAAGACCTCAGCGCTGCAAAGGCTGGACGTAGGAACCTAGAAGGTGATCACAGCTCACTTTTCTACCAGTTGAAAAGAATCTGGAAGGAGGTGCATTCGATCTCACCGGAGCTGGAGACAACCCTGTTTGCTGAAAATGTGTGTTCGATGGATGTCAGCGCGAGGGACACGATCACGGCCGAACTCGGTTTCGCCCCTTACAGAGTTGATAGTGACCATGTTGTTTGTCTTAGTCGGCCACGTTTCGTTTGGACAAACTTGACGGTTCGAGAAGATGAACATGTTTGGACAGAGTGGAAGAACGGGTTCTGGCAGGTTTATTTTAGCTGTGAGCGCTTGCAGGGTTTGGCATGGACTGACCCAGGTTGGACCCCCCTTTGATGAGACGGCGGTTTTTCCAACGTGTATGCGTGCAATTGCAAGGTGGCAACCCCCTCCTAGGCCTGTCGGGTATGCACGGTGCTTAGCCCATGAGCTGAGTAGGTGGCGACAAGATGCGTTCCGCTTCCCACCATATCAATATAAAGACTGCTATATGATGGTTGAGGAGAGTTCCGGCAAAACTCGATACATCAGTGTTGAAGAGAGAGAGCGATTAATGGGCTACGGAACGGGGCACACAGAGTTTGCTTGGAATGCCTCGGCGATCAAGGGTAGCCCAAGAGGTTATACTGATGAAAGGCTGAGCTTGCTAGGAGACGCCTTCCCCGTGAACACCTTTTGGTTGTTTGCTGCTAGCTCCATTGAAGCTTGGATTGATAGAAGAAAGCCCGAACAATATTTACAGAGGCTAGGACTGTTCCCAGGTTCGTGCTCGCACGTGGATCGGGTATCACCCTTCGGCACACAGTTTCCCTTCGGCAGCACTGAGAAGGACCTTGAGGGTGTCGAAGAGGCTGAAGAACTTCTTGTACGACAGTTGGCTCGAAGGGTAGCCCACAATGGATCAGATATCAGGGTAAGTTTAAGTGTGCCCACCAATCCTCGTTTGTTCTCCCGGCAAAGCATCCCTGCAAACTTCTGGAAATGGACTATTTGTTGGAAGAAACATTGGGAGGTAAAAGAGCACATTAACGCCTTGGAAATGCGTTCCATACTACTTTCCTTGCAGTGGAGACTTCAGCACCAAGATGGCACAAACCTACGAGTCCTGCATTTGACCGATTCATCGGTCTGCCTATCCATATTAGCTAAGGGCCGGACGTCTAGTAAAGCACTTTCTTACATTGTCAGGAAAATCAATAGCCTCGCCTTGATGTGCAATATTTATATGTTGGGTATCCACGTGGATAGCATCCACAATCCAACTGATGCTGCATCGAGACAATGAGGAAGAAGGTTGCTAAAAGCCTGACTAAGGAGGACAGAAAGAAGGCTCGCAGTGGCGCTAGCTTGCATGAGATTGGCCTGAAGGAATCCACGCTTCGTCGATACAGAGAAGCCGTTCACAAAGCCCTTGAAGAGTGGGAATTCGAAGCTGCCGGTTATACTGACCTTCCCAGCTTTGACCTTGAGCTAGGAGACTATTTAGAGTATCTCTATGAAAGTGGTGAGGCAGTTTCGTTGGCAGGAGATCTCATTTGTGGCTTGCAGACCTTCCTTCCCTTCCTCCGTAAGCATTTGTCTTACAGCTGGCACCTGTTTGGGCTCTGGAGAAAGAATGAGAGGTCTTGGCAAGCCACGCCTATGGGACCGGAGCTGCTCTGGGCGATGATAAGCAGAGCCATAGACCTTGAGGCCATAGCTATGGCATTCTTGCTAGCAAGCGGCTACTATGGGCTCCTGCGCACTGGCGAATTGCTACATATGAGGCATGAGGACATTACCCACTCTGAGCATGAGCTGTTGATTCATCTTCCAGACACCAAGACTGCCCCCAGAGGAGGACCTGGAGAGACAGTCGTGATTAGAGATCGCAGGGTATGTCTTCTGTATCAGAGCTTAAAGACGCTCACAGGTCGTCGTGGGATCATTTGGGCACAGTCCCCCCAAGCTTTTCGTGAGCAATTCTCCCAGCTGCTAGCCTTCTTTAAACTTGAAAGTCATGGCTATAGACCATACAGCCTCCGTCGTGGAGGCGCTACAGCCTTGTACAGAGCCCAGACCCCGATGGATTTGATCCTCATTCGTGGAAGATGGAAGAATTCCTCTTCCGCACGCCTTTACATAGCGGACGGAATGGCAGAATTGGCGCGCCTAAAGTACTCGTCAAAGACGCGTGCGCTTCTTAAATTTTGTCATAAACGGCTTGGATTTCAGTCGTCCTGAGCGGACAAGCTGGTGAGCACCAGGGGAGCGTGGAGAATCCACTTTTGTTTCAGCCTTGCACCTCCAAAAATGCATCG